GGGGCTTTTTTATTATTTTTTAAAGAACTGAAAATTTGTTTTATCACTGAAGGCTGCAAGTCATATATGAATAAATGAAATATTTCTCATAGTTATTATGAGTAAAATTATCTATAATATTATTGCTTGTGATACAATGCGGTGCATTAATCACCGCCTGTGCTAAAATGCCTTGAATTTTTTTCCGCCAGTGCTTTCAGCCACAAGGTGCAGCCTCAATCTATGAGTGGACTGATTAATAACGTAAATATTAAGTTCCTGAACCTGCGGCGATTTAGCGAAATTGATTTAACTATTAATTTAATAAAGCCAGCTAAGTACAAGAAAATAATCGGAAGTTCATTCCCAAGTTACTTTAGAAATACGTAGAGCATAAAGTATTTCCATTGATCCTCGGTACTGATTGGCGCGGGAAGATAAGAATTTCAAGATGATTGGGAATTTTCCTTTCATTTCACTCAATTTATGAGTTCATGGTCATCTACTGGAATTTGATATGGAGTAGGGCATGCAGCTTCTCCTATGAGTTGTTCTAAAAAACTGACTTCCTGTTCAGCATCTTAGGCACCGGCCAACGACCAGTCTCGGGTCAACGAACTACGTTTACAGTATACTCAGTTATCGTTCATTTATTAATTCAGTAAATTAAAGTGAAATGATGCAAAGTCAGATAATAAAATATACAAATTTAAATAAATAATTAAAAAATTCATAGTAAAAGTAGACTTACTCAATGAATATTTACCCACAAATTTAACTATCGTCTGGACAAGCACTGCCCCAGTTGAGGGAGACGGATTTCGTTATAAAGAAAATCGAGTCCAAGGCGACTAAGAAGGATGCTAATGTTCCGCAAAACTAACACATAATGTTTTACTCTTCTGAAAGCAGATGGAGACAAAACGACTTTTTTACACAAAGAGAAATGAGAATTTTGAGCCCATGGTCAAGTTACATTATGAGGTCAAGCTCTACCGCACTAGTGAGAAGAATTTATTATTCAACAATGAATTTTCGAGGCACAATTTTATGTAAATCTGCTACTGACTCTTTCCAACAATATTGTGTCATTTAAATGTTTATTTTTGAGTAATTCCAACAATATTGTGTAATTTAAATTTTTATTCTCGCATTTGTGACAGCGGTTGATACGTTTAATTTCGAATCTACTTTTAGGACTTTCATAGATTGTCGAAATCGTACACAGCAACAAATGTAATTTCTTCATTTAATTCAGTTTTTACATAAGGTCTTGGCTATGCAATTTATATTCCCACCATTTGCCGTGATCGACAAAAATTTCATTTTATTTTCAGTGCTGATCAATCTACTCTTTTTGGCAAATAGTCATAAGAATGAGCTCGCTAATACAATCCATATACTGACCAAATTCCCGTATGTTTATTTTAAGCGAAATTCCTCGAACTTTTTGCATTTGTATTTCTCTCTACTTTACTTCAAAGAGGAATTCAAATATAATAATTTTTTCGGGTACCAAATAATAATCTTTATAAAGTAGAATCACCTAATCGCAAATGAACACTGAACTAGCTTTCCTTGGTATGAAATATTCCAACTATGTAAAAGCAATGCTAAAGCACCTCAGAAATACGGTCCACAAGCGCAGATGCTGGAAAATAGATAAATTTTTCTATAGAAAATCATTTCAATACATCAATAGATTGGAATGCATTATTGATCATTCAAATAGCTAAACATATCAATTCATTTGATGAATTCATCACTTATTTATTTCCGATGAAGCTTACTTAGTTCCGTCATTATAGTTGCGTGTTTTCTCACAAATTTCAGCGGTTCGAGCTACTCTCCAAAATTCAGCGGTTCGATAATTTCTGCGGTTAGAGCACAAATTTCAGCGGTTCGAGCTACTCTCCAAAATTCAGCGGTTCGATAATTTCTGCGGTTAGAGTACAAATTTCAGCGGTTCGAACTGCTCTGTAAATAATTTTCATCCGCTTCTAAATTAGTTACTTTCTGTCGAGACTCTTGAGCGAACGGCATATCAGGTAAACATTTTTTAACGTAAATGGGGCTTCTAATTGAGAATACTTTGAACTCATTAATGATCATCTATAAGGGAATAAAAATTACCTGCTTGTAATAGGATCTTATGAGGTAGAGTTAAATCTAATTAAGTCAGCGAGTGCTAATTATGGACTGGTTGAAGTATCACTCCTTATTTCAAAAATTTTCCGACTGAAAATTGGACAACGATTCAAGCAGTTAAATTTTTGTAATAAATTAACAATTGCACTTATCCACCTGATGATTCGAGAACTAATTCAAGTTTCTATTGCTAATCAAATCAAATATTTATTTTAAGATGCAATTCATGACAAAACCTACATGTTTTACTGTATGATCACAACTCTCATCCGAACCTTACCGTACCTACGGAAACCAATGTACCGGTCTTGATGATAGCAAGACGTCGCGCCTGTATCTTTTTTATCACCATATCAGACTTAGTCCTCTAAACCTCTCTATGTTGTCAGTATACGCGCCATGTTACAGTTATGTAACACTACCGTCGGCTCACATGTACAGTCTATGATGAACTTGCGTTTTCTTGTGTTGCAATCACTTTTCCGGATCATTTTCCTGAAGCGTAAATTTTAATTGCCCCATAGGATATTAATTCTACTACGATAATTTTCTTGGTAATTTTTAAGAATAATTCTAATTTATTATAGTATGGTTACAGCGCTTTATTTTTTAAATTCAAGGCATTTTTATACAATATGTTTTTCATGCGGAGAATTATAACAAAACTCCACGAATAGGTTTTCAGGCAGCTCATGATGTTAGGTAAAACAAGGGGTTTTAATATCATGAAAAACTAGTTTATTCACTACTTTCCAAATTCCTGACATTTTGAAAAAAATCTGGACTCTTCTAGTTGGTAGTTTTTAAAGTCGCCACGAAACAATGAAAAACTTCCGTGTTCGCTGCGCCGGTGAAAGTCTAACTAGACATGAACCTAGAATTTCGTCTCATGAGTAACTAGACATGAACCTAGAATTTCATCTCATGAGTAACTAGACACGAACCTAGAATTTCATCTCATGAGTAACTAGACACGAACCTAGAATTTCATCTCATGAGTAACTAGACACTAACCTAGAAAGTGTTCTCATTTTGCCGCAGCACTAGATATGCTATCTTCGCAAAGTAAGCAACAATGGATGAATGGCATCGCTAAAAAATGATGAAATATTCAATTATAGTTGGTAATTCCGGCTTCCGGTATAAATATACACTAATAAATTCAGCATTTTAAATTCCAGAATAGACTGACAAAAATTTTTGTTGATAAATGATTGAAAATGCTAATTATTTTTCAAGTTTAATAAGCCATCGACCATATCTTATACAGCCACAGCCGTTTAATGCTTGCTTTACAAGAAGACTTGCGCGACATTGTAAGATTTACATTGTTGATTCAGCTACGAAGCAAGGTTTACACGGTTGTCTTCAACAACGGTACCAGGTTTACACGGTTAATTCAGTAACGATGTCAGGTTTGCACGGGGGATTCAACAGCGATGCAAGGTTTACACGGTTGTCATCAACAACGATGCCAGGTTTACACGGTTGTTTTCAACAACGGTGCCAGGTTTACACGGTTAAACAAGTGAATATGCAAGGTTTACACGGTTGTCTTCAGCAATGGTGCCCTGTTTACACGGTCGAAATAAACGATGCTCTAAGGTTTAAATGGTTGAACTAAGCAACGATGTCAGGTTTACACGGCTGACTTGAGCGCTGCTACAAAGTTTACACGGCTTTTAAAGTAATGCTACAAGATTTACACGGTTGACTTAGGCGGCACCGTGTTACATATCACAGCCTGACAAGGCAGCCTGAAATATTATCCATTACTTGGCTTATTGTGTGGAGGGTCTAACTCTTTATTTTTTGTTCTAACCTAGCCTCTGTGTCGGCAAGTCTCAGAAATGAAAGTTCATTCAAACGTGCGGAGTCACTGCAGTTAATAAAACCAATAAACAAAGCTGAGGTTGCCATGGAGTGAGCAATTTGTTCGAAGATACCGCGAAACTGCAGTTGACCATAAATTTCAAATCAAAATAATAACAAAGGTTGCATTTTATATACTCTTACGATGCTCGACCATTGTTAGACTCATATTGGAGATCAAAATACCGTACTAAACTGCAGCAATTACCACATGCATGCAGCAATAAATTGTTAAAGTTTGCGTTAAGCTATGAGAGAAGGAAAACTTAGCAAATATAAGATTTCCATTAAATTTTAGAAACAATATAAGACAAATTTGTCAAGAAAAAGTCGGAGATTAATGGTAGCATTGTGTCAACCGTTCACGGAGTAGCGATGCCAGTTTGTGTGGTCAGGCGAGAGTAACGAATTTCATGGAGAAAATTCTAACCATGAAAGAATTGAATGAATGAGCAAATTCACATGGTTAAGATGCTATACATATAGGGCTGAAACGGCAGCAAGAATTAGGCTGTAATTTTTATATACCTCCAAATAATGACTCGGCTAATTGCTTTTTGCTCCCCCAAAGTTATTGTTAGCATATATTTCTTTATCTCTTCACTTACCTGAGGTGTGACCACACATATAAAGTAAATAAAAAATATTTTCGCTTTGCATTACAAATATTTTTAGAAATAATAGACAGAATCAGATTCAAAGTAGCTAAGATATAAATACTAAAATGTGCTTAAATGTATTTAAATTATTATGCTGATAAACCTTAAAACCATCACGAGTTTTCACTCAGTTTTCCTCCAAAAATTGCCTAGAAGACTTGACGAATTTCATTGATCGGACGATTGTTGGTACAAAACCTCATTAGAACGAATGACAAATATAAAATAAGCAAAATAATTAAATAATTATATAACATAAGCAAATTAAAAATAAGCAAAACACTGACGAAATGATGCATATATGTGTTGTGATCATGGTTCACAAGATCATAGTTCACTCACCAGAAGACGGTACGTATATGTTGAGGAAAAGACAATCTTCGCTCTGATTTCTCAGCATGGGGATAAGACGCTGCAGATAGTTATACCTTCCCTCGGGCATCTTCTTGAGGGCTTCTCTCCGATTACTAACATCTGGTAGTTTCTGGGGACATACCGGCGGCATGGTTTCAGCCCTCCGCACGTTTGACCAGGGGAATGGAGGAGTAGGAGGCATGAACCTGAGTTGTCCTACAGGCGGAGCCGCGTATGGGACCCCTAAGAAAACCTCCACGTTGCCCAGGCCGTGATGGTTTGGCTTCACTATAAAACCTTGCAAGTCACCATACTTGAGGTTCACCACGCGGTCTGATCTAAAGATAACGCAATGCATTGGCACGAATATGATGAGAAGTATTGAAGTTATCAATGATAATTTTAATGCATAGGATTTCATTTTCAATTGAAATTAAGGATCACCAATAAAAAATTTCAAATGGATTTGAAAGTGAGATTTTTGTTATAGTAAAAAGTACGAAAACTTTAATATCACCAATAACATCAGGAAAAAAATCTTATTGACACATGGAACACAAATTTAGCTGATGAAGCACAATGTATACATAAAAACTCCTTGAGAGTTTTATTAAACGGCAGAACTACTGATGTAAATAATTTTTCAACAGTGCCCAAGGAAACAAAAGACACGCAATTTTTCTACTCAAGTTAATTGGCTTAGCCGGTTTTTTATTGATTGAATTTTCAAAGTTATAAACTCAAATTGTATACACAAGAGTTCGTGAAGTGGCCAAACTTCTCACTCCGCAATTTCAACACATCTTCTTCTCATTGCAAATTACACCGAAATACGAATTTACTGAAGATGAATCTAAACAGAATACAAATTGCATCACTAAATTCGCTTTAATTTTCTGCTGTAATCACAGAAATCATCATGATTCATCACAAAAAATTTCACCCAATCTGTAAATAAAAAGCAATTAGAACTTATTCTTATCTATCAATGTAGCTGACCAAGAAACTAATTTCTAACACATAAAGTTTGCAACAGTTCTGTATGCTTCTTGATCATAATTTTCCGTTTAATATGAAAGAAGCAAAATACGGTACAAGCATCAAATAATGTGTCTACATTCCTAAAAAACGTAATTTTTGCAACACATTTTTTGTGACGAGAGCTCAATAATTTTACGGCTAGAATATTTTCATGGAACGCATTTTCGGCATTAAATCCACTCGCCCGAGAAATCAAAGAATTCAAACCGGAATGTCGACCATTTTGAGACAGCGCTCTGCCGCTATGTTAGTTGAAACTTATATCCGCCGAAATTATATGAATTTGCATACTTTATTAGCATTGGTTTCAGGAAAATTTACAATTATATAAACAATAAATAAATTTACGGATAATATTGTTGACAATTGATGCCATAGGCTGATTCCTTTTCCTTACTGTGTTTTCCAATGTGAATCCAAATTATTGCGTATTTAAGTGCTTAGCTTTGCAGAGTTTGATCAATATAATCATTACACACTGGTTTAAGATACGTTATCATGTCTAAATTATTCATTGAGCCTCACAATAAAGTAAGTTAAATAAATGGATAAAATTGTATTGGGAAGATGCTTGCTCGATCAAACCCATAACGCCTTTTTACGACCAATAACGCATTTTGCAACAAGTTGAACGGCATCTGGAAAGGAGACTCTGAATTCCACCAACGACAACGCTTTGTGAGCAGAAAATCCCTTCAATAAATAAAATATGTCTACATTCAAACCCAGGCATTGTGCTAAAGTATTCAAGCCGTCAAACGGAGCGTGTATTGTTGAGGAACTTATAATTTATTTTGAAATATTGTCATCAACTGTAAAGCTATCAGAAATGTAATGTAAAGTTTAATTTTTATGGCTAAGAAAATGAATGCAATCGAAAAGCTGAAGTAATGTAGTCATCAAATTAGATTTATTTGTTAGGATTCCCTCGTCATTGACGTGCGAAAATGTTTCGATGCGAATTATTGCATCGATTAATATTTAATTTCACGTGTTATTGAAAACTTAATAACTTTTGGAGAATATTTTACAATGCTCACTGGCCGATGCCTACATGATGTATGTATCAGTATGGCTCATTCATCAGTTGAGTAAGTAGGTATATTATAGATTAATTAGTACCTAAATTTATATCATATTGCTGGCGCTCATCCAACTGTTGAGTTAGGTTGCTTCAGTGTAGTAAATGCGGCAGGATAAATCATCGATTGTCTTCAGGATAAATCATCGTGTGTCTTCAAGATAAATCATCGATTGTCTTCAAGATAAATCATCGTTTGTCTTCAAGATAAATCATCGATTGTCTTCAAGATAAATCATCGGTTGTCTTCAAGATAAATCATCGGTTGTTTTCAAGATAAATCATTGATCGTCTTCAGGATAAATCACCGATCCTCTTCAGGATAAATCATCGATTGCATTCAGGATAAATCATCGCTTGTCTTCAGGATAAATCATCGATTGCCTTCAGGATAAATCATCGCTTGTCTTCAGGATAAATCATCGATTGTCTTCAAGATAAATCATCGATTGTCTTCAAGATAAATCATCGGTTGTCTGCAGGATAAATCATCGATTGTCTTCAAGATAAATCATCGAGTGTCTTCAAGATAAATCATCGGTTGTCTTCAAGATAAATCATCGATCATCGATTGTCTTCAAGATAAATCATCGATTGTCTTCAGGAAAAATCATCGATTGTCTTCAAAATAAATCATCGATTGTCTTCAAGATATATCATCGATTATCTTCAGGATAAATCATAGATTGTCTTCAGGATAAATCATCGATTGTCTTCAAGATATATCATCAATTGTCTTCAGGATAAATCATCGGTTGTCTTCAAGATAAAACATCGATTGTCGTCACATAAATCATCGATTGTCTTCAGGAGAAATCATCGATTGACTGCAGACATCTCCTGGTCTGAGTTGAAGTTGAAACAAGTAAGAACAATATTGTCTAATATAAAGCAAAGACCGGTAGTTGAGAACTGAAGAAGAGATGTACATATCTGCAGAGGGTCACGCTCAGTTTGGTCTTCGGTTGGCTGCCAAGTTTATGTTTTGCTTGTTTCTTGCTACGTTGATTCGCTTACACTGATTTAATACACTAATATCTATTTAATATATAATAAATTCAGGATGCATGGATGGAAGTTTAATATATTATATGCTTCTGTGAGGAACTAATAGTGACGGTAAATATTGCATAAAATTTTCAATGAATCCGTGTACTTAACAAATATATTTTTGTGTGTTGTATGAACATATTATCAAAATTCACTGAGATAATTCCGAAAATTTAAAATAAACTTGAAAAATGTGTTCAGCAGAATTCGAGCCTATTCATTATTCGAGCCTATTCAGTGAAAATTTTCGACAACCTTCCCTATATTTTCTCATCTTTAAATTTTTTTCGTACACTTTCGCACCCCGTTCATACATTTCAAATCTATTTCCATTCATGTTATATATTCATTTATTGCATTCTCAAAAGCTTCCATTAAGTTCATCTGCTTGCTAAAAATTAACTAAGGCTTTATCAGAGTCGAGTAAGAATTATTAGGAAAAATGGAACCGATCTTGCTGATTAGTTCATGACGTCATAATTCAAACTGCATAAAATTTTTCTTTTTATTCTACAATTAACCGACAACATTTTCATATATATGCGCTTTCCAATGCAGCAACATTACCGTTCAAAAGAACCTTTCGGAAGTTGAATTTACTTGAATTCACTTTTCGGAAGTGAATTTAGGTACCTCAGTGAGAAAGAAGTTAGAATCGACGGCCGACCATTTGGCCACCGGTAGAAACCCTAATATGTTTTATGAAGTGACAAGACCATCTCATCCACCAGCAACGACGCAAGCTTTACTAGTAGAGCAAAGGAAAAGAATCATTAATGGCCTTTGGAGAGCAGCCAAATCATCGAGTCTCCTACCGCTAAATAATGGAGTCCCGGCTAGTCTGTTCACAGAGAATGAAGTTCTTTTTGCACAGGCAAACCCTCTTGTGTAGATTACGGCCATGTCACATTTGGCCAGAAGTCGGCCATCTATGAAATGCCTAAGTTTTAAATGAGAAATGCCTAACAACGCATGTTAAAATCAGACACTAACCATCGGTGGTGAGGCTTCGGCCGTTCTTTTGCCGCGACGATTCACAATTGCATCGTCGTCGAATAACTGCACAATTGCAGTTATTCTTATGCTTGACATGATTTGCAGAAAAAATATACCATCGTGTTCATGAATATATATAGTGGATAGGTAATCGAATTTTAAGGTAAGATAGGCGACACATTTGTGTCCTTGTTTAGGCAAATTATATCCATTCGACAGGGCGAAAAAATATTAGCGTTGAAAAATTCGAAGTACCATTGAACCAAGAGGACTGGCTGCAATAAACTGTTGATTCATGGCATTTCCAATCGTTACGAGAATGTGAACTTTATTTATTCGTCACTAAACAAATATGCTTCAATATATATTATTTCGAATCACAAACTTTTCATCTCGAAGATTTTAATTGTATTTAAGGTAACTATGCTAAACAATTTGCTTATAAAATGAAAATTTACGCGGAACCCGTCATGCAGGCTGTAAATCTAATCAGAATTTTTCTCAGAATTTGAATAATGATTTTTATTGACAGTTTGAGGCTTTTGTCGCCTTCACTGGAATACTCAGTTGGGGGTCAGTTTATGATGTGCACATCAGGGCTAGAGGCATTAGATTGGAAACCTTAATTAGCCACGCAAATTAGTCGGGATGAAAACAAAATAATTATATGATTCTCATATTATGGTAATTATTAAACTACATCAGTTGATGTGGGCAGGTCCCCCTCATGCCTCGTACTTAGTGTTTTCATTTACTCACGCTGTATGGTTTTGTGTTTACACAGGAGACCGCATGTGTTTTTACACCCTCGTAACACGCTGGCACTCACACCATACACAGACATTTACCATTCATGTACACATTTAGAAACACGGACAAGCTTGTATACCCAGATACCTACACTCAACAGACACACTTACTCGACATACATGAATAATGAATACCTATAATTGTGCACTCTTACAACACCCAGATACGCTCATATGAACAAATAGAAGTTACCAAGAAGAAATGACAAAATACAGAAGCTTACAAATAAAGTTTGAAAGATTAATTTTTAGCCTGTCCTTCAATAAATTAAGCCATATGCTTTGAATTTATCAAGTGAACTTTTAATCATGTAAGCGTTCATAATGTTTTTAAAGTTAAGGGACCAATGTTTGGCTGCCTGCTACGATATCTCATCCTTTGTCTTAGCTTAGCGATTGTCTGTTCTACGTTCCTACGATAATTGTAAATCTCTGATCGCCTGTATGTGTTCCT